CGGCCTCTGGGGTCACGACGGGAGGTTTTTCGCTATGTTCGGCCTCCCAGGGCCCTTTCGGGGCCTCGGGACCGTCAACAAAACGACTCGGGATAAAAAACCAGTCCCGGGGAAGGGGTCCGGACCTCTGGGTGTGGACGTTGTGAAAAAAACAAAAAACACACACACGGCGTCGGGGGTTTGGGACAGGGGGTGGGATTAGGCTTATATGCCCTACCACTGAGAGCCAGCGACGGCTTCCATACACCGTAACCATCCCTTCGATTACAAGTAAGAGTGGCCTTTCGACGAAGTGACCCCCGAACGCGAACGCAATGACGCTTGTGTTTGGTCCCCCGTGGCCCCCCAACAACCGCGCACCAAAGGCCACTCTTGCCCTTGCCCAGGATCACTCTTGGCGTGCAGGCGATTCCTTAAGGCACGGGCAAAATTCGTCGGCGGGTGTCTGTGAGTATGAGGAGGAGGGGGCGAAGGAGGGGAGGAGGAGAAGGAGAAGGAGGAGGAGGAGGAGGAGGAGAGGAGGAGGAGGAGGAGAGGGGAGGGGGAGAGGCGAGGAGAGGGGGGGAGGTGTGGAGAGGAGGAGGAGGAGGAGGAGGATGAGGAGGAGGGGGTGGAGGAGGGACAGGGGGGGAGGAGGAGGAGAGGAGGAGAGAGGAGGAGGAGGAGGAGGAGGAGGAGGAGGAGGAAGAGAGGAGGAGGAGAGGAGAGGAGGAGGCGAAGGAGGAGGAAGGAGGAGGAGGAAGGAGGGGAGGAGGAGGAGGAGGAGGAGGAGGAGGAGGAGGAGAAGGAGGAAGAGGAGGAGGAGAAGGAGGAGGAGGAGGAGGAGGAGGGCACTGTCGTGACGTGCCGCCTCCTGCCTTGCGTGTAGCCGACGGCCCCGGACTGCCCACCCCTCGGAGCCCACAAAGTGCCCACGGGGACGCGGTGGCCCTCCTTCCTTCCAAATTCGATAGCGATCACGGTAACAACGACAACGATAACGACAAGGAACAGCGACAACGATCACAAGGACAACGGTCACAACGAGAACGACAACGATCACAACGACAACGACAACGATAACGATCACAACGGCAACGATCGCAACGACGGCGGGGACGCGGCGGCCCGCCTTCCTCGAGGTGCACGTGGGCTCTCGCGAGGGGGGACCCGCCCACGAAGCCCTGGCGCTCGGGCACGAAGGGCCGGCCCCCCCGGGGGGCGAGGGGAGGGTCGGGGACATCGCTGGGGGGCGGGGTGTATCCGATCGGCTTGGCGGCACGGCACCAACGCATAACCCCTGAGATCCCGGCGTTGCAACTCTTTCGAGCCGGGCGTTTCCATCAGGTTTGGGACCCCAGGACGTTCGCAGATCGACCCGGCTCGACGAACGCCGCAGAAAGATGGGGTCCCGGGCTCCGGCGGTGATTTTTGTCGATGCTGAAATTGTTCTGCAACGCCGGATCTCAAGGACGTCCTATTGCGACAGAGGCCGATGAAGTATCCCCATGGGCCCGCGCAAGCAGATCGTTCGGCGGGTGCCCAGCCGCCGTCAGTGCACAAGTCGTGTTGCCCAGCGAAAGTGGGTGTCCCACCACAACCAAAAGGCTGCGGTGACTGCCAGCTTGTCACCTGCAAGGGGGAATGGGCACAGAGGGGGATGCATCGACGTCGAATGGTTGACACATCGATGGCGTATCGCTGATATCAGGCCGCCGCAACGACGGTGTATGGACGAAACCTGGGGCGGCATGCATCGACGCTGCGTCGACGCCGCATGCGCGATGTATCTCAGGAGGAAAAAAAACACACAGACACAATTAATCGTCGATTTCCCAGAAAATATGGGAAAATATGGGAAGTGGTGGGGAAGACAAAAACCCAGAAAATATAGGAAAATATGGGGAATCATTTTATTTGTGTGTATTTATTTGTGTGTCCCAGTTTCCCTTCAGTATCGGCCAGTCGAGGTCGATGCATCCCCGTTGTGCCTATATCCCCTCCCTATCCTTGCCCCTCGGCCGAGGGGCGCGCCCTGGCTTCTCCCCGCGCTCCGGCGGGGGAGGGCAAGCATGGAGGCGACCACGGCGTGGGAGCCTCGGAGGAGGACCAGTCGAAGCTCTCCCGGGTCGTCCTTCCTGGGCCTCGTGGGGGCTCATCGCCGACGCGGCCGGAGCAGCTTCGGAGAGCGGGTCAGGACAGACCCCCGCAGCGTGTCTGGGGACCGACTCTGAGCAGAGTTGGGCCGGGCGGCGGGAGAGCTGTGTTGGAGACCCGCTGTGGGGAGGCAGCCATGGCGGCCCGAGCGCAGGGGCACGCCTCCTCCTCTTCCCTCCGCCTCTTCCCTCCTCTTCCCTCCTCCTCCTCCTCCTCCTCCTTCCTCCTCCTCCTTCTGCTCCTTCTCTTCCTCCCCCTCCTCCTCCTTCTCCTCCTCCTCCTCTCGTCCTCTTCCTCCTCCTTCTCCTCCTCCTCCTGTTCCTCCTCCTCTTCCTCCTCCTCCTCCTCGTCCTCCTCCTCCTCGTCCTCCTCCTCCTCCTCCTCCTCCCTCCTCCTCTCGAGCCCGAGCCCGAGCCCGAACCATCGGTTCCTGCCGCCCGAGCGCGTGGTCGTCGTGGCCGGAGAGATGCGCTCGGACGTGGACGGGCGGCGCGAGGCGTCGCTGTCTGCTGGCTGGCGAGATCCGGCCGCCGGGCACGCCAGCGGCGCGCGGGCTGCAGAGCCTGGCGGGCAGGCTGCGCCCCCTTTCGGGGCAGGGCAGGGAGCTCGAGCCGCAGCCCAGACAGTGGCCCTCCCGCCGGGCGGTGCCGAGCAGGGGCCCTCGGCCGCTTCGGCCACGGGCGCCCTCGACGAAGAGACGGGTGAAGTCACGGGGCGATGGTTGGGGCGGAGCGCGGCGCTGCGGGGCGCCCCTGAGCGGCTGGGCCAGCGCCGGGAGGCTCGAGCTGCCGCGGGCGACGGCCTCGGAGGGAGGAGCTGCGACACCAGCACCACCAGAGGGGCCCGCCTCTTGGCGAGGAGGTCCGCGATGTGCCCCCCCTCCCCGAGCTGGAGTCGCTGGGGATGCCTCGAGCGAGAAGGGGGGGGGGACAACACCACCAGGGAGGCCCCCCTTGCCGCCCTGGTTGTGTTGGTGTCGCCCTTCCTTGTCTCTGGCAGCCTGAAGGTGCTGCGAGCTGCTGCCGCTGCCCCTCTGCGCGCGGGGGCGCGGCTCGCAGGGCCTGGCTGACCTGTCGGCCGCTGCCGGCGAGGGCGGCGAGGGCGGCGCGGGCTCGGGCCCCCCTCGGCCCCTCTTGGCGGCCTCCAGGGTGCCTCCCCCCCTCCCTCCTCCCCCTCCTCCCCCCTCTCCCTCCTCCCTCCTCCCTCCCTCCCTCCCTCCTCCTCCCCTCCTCCCTCCTCCCTCCCTCCTCCCTCCTCCCTCCTCCCCTCTCCTCCCCCTCCTCCCTCCCCCCTGCCTCCTCCCTCCTCCCTGCCCCTCCTCCCCCTCCTCCTCCCCCTCCTCTCCCTCCTCCCTCCCTCCTCCCTGGGAGGGGGTGCCGAGGCCACGTCGCGGGCCTTCCCTCTCGGCCGAGCCACACCAGATGCCAGAAGCGCCGTGTGCTGTCGCGGCGGTGCCCGCGTTCTCCGCGTTCCCTCCTCGAAACGTTTTCGTTTTTATTGGGGAAGAGATCGCCATCGTCCGTCGTCCGTCGTCCGTCGTCCGTCGTCGTCGTCGTCGTCGTCGTCGTCGTCGTCGTCGTCGTCGTCGGTCGCCTTCGTCGGTCGCTCGTCGTCGTCGTCGGCGGAGGAGGAGGAGGAAGAGGAGGAGGCGGAGGCGGAGGCGGAGGCGGAGGCGGAGGTTGGGGAGGGGGAGGGGGGGAGGGCAAGCTAGGTGCGCTCGCGTCAACATCTGACATCCTACCCCTCCCTCCCATCCCTTCCCATTGAGCTACTTCATTGTCCTCTCACCGAATCGGGCTTCGCATCTGACCCTGTTACCTAAGAGGGAGCATGGGGCCGGGGACCGTTGCACTGCAGCGGCAGCACGATTTGGAACGACCAGCGGCGCGGAAAATAGGACGAACGCTGCAGCGGGAGCAACATTCTGAAGGACCGGAAAGACTCGGATTTTCAAAAACATAAATGAAAACCAAACTCCCGGGAATCCTGTGCGGAAAAGGACGCCGCCCAAAAGGGGGGGGGGGGGCTTTCTGCGGCCCCAAAAATCAACGAATCGACACCGGATGTGTAATCACCTCCAATGTTTTTGCCGGGGATCATTTTCTAGATTTGGGGCTTCTTAAAAAGGATCGAAAACGTCGGCGCTGCAGCGGGAGCACGTTTTGGAACAACGAGAGGCGCAGAAATTGGGCCAGCGCTGCAGCGGGAGCACGATTCGGAACGAGCGGGAGCGCGGAAATGAGGCCAACGCTGCAGCGGGAACACGATTCGGAAGGAGCGGGAGCCCGAAAATTAGGCCAGCGCCTCAGCGAGAGCAGCATTTTAGAAAAAAACACAAGCGAAAACCCAACTCCGGGGAATCCTGTGTGTAAAAAAACAGTACGCGGGGGGGTGCCGAATATCTTCCGGACGCCATCAGGGGAAGTGGGAGAGTAGTATTCATATTGTGTAATTGTGGAGGGGAGGTGGCGGCGGAGACGGAGGCGGAGGAGCAGGGGTGCGAATGTCAGGGACGCTGAGGACGGGGGGGAAGGGGGGATCAGCCCTGGGGGCGAAGTGTCGACCCTTGATGACCGTGCGCGCGGCCGAAAGGAGGACGATCTGCGCTTGCAGCCTCTTGGCCCAAGCCGTCCACGGCGGACCCCAGGCGGCCGCGGGGAGGCGCCCGCGGCTGGATGGCCAGGCCTGTGGTCGTGGGCGGGTACGCCGCGCGCGCGGCGGCCAGGGCCGAGTGGCAGAGCCGCGAGGCGGCTGCGGCGTCGAAGAGCCAGGGGGGCTTCCGCGCAGCATCGCCGGAGGCGGCGAGCGCGGCGAGGGCGCGGGCCCAGAGCCCGGCCGCGGAGGCGGCCAGGCTGCGGAGAGAGATGGGCGCGCCGAGGCACGTCGTCTGCGTCCTGGGGGGGACCGCGCTCCAGGACGACTGCTCCGAGGCGCTGGTGCAGGCCCTGGCGCGAGACCTGGCCGCGGGCCTCGGCCCCGAGGTGGCCTTCGTGACCGGCGGGCTGCCCGGCGTGCAGCGTGTCTTCGCGGACCATTGCGGCGACGGTTCGCGCCTCTGGAATCTGTTGCCGCGCGCGGAGTCCAGCGGCTACGCCGTCGGCCGCGACGTGCACGCGGGCGCGGACCTGGCGGAGCGCAAGGAGGTCTTCGGCCAGCTGGGAGACGTCTACGTCACCGTGGAGGGCGGGCCTGGGGTGGCGCAGGAGTGCCGAGCCGCCGCGGCTCGCGGCGCAGCCATCGTCCCACTGATGCGCAGCGGCGGCGCGAGCGCCGGGATGTTCGAGTTCCCCCCAGAGGCGCTGCAGAGGCCCGCGTTTGCGACCCAGGTCAGAGGAGGAAAAAGGCACCCATACCTCTACCTTTCCCTGGCTTGCCCTCTTTGGGCCTCTTGGGCGGCCTTCGTCGCCACCGCTGGCCTCGGTCAAAACGCACCCCCGGGAGAGGCCCGGGGAGGAGCGGTACTGGTACCTGTTGATTTCCCCACTAGGAGCAGTGGGAGCTCCTCTCGTCCACGAGCGCGGCCGTGGCGGTGTCCGCAATGGCCGCGGCGCACGTGGTCGCGCGGGTCGTCGCCGAGAGAGAGTCGTCCCAGCAGCGGAGGGAGCAAGAGCGACACCACCTCCACCACCACCTGGGGGGGCCTCCTCCAGCGAGGAGGGCCACGATGCCTTCCCGAGCCCAGGGAATCCACCGCTCCACCGCCCCCTAGAGTTGGCTCATACCCACTCATAAATACTCAACTTCCTCCTGCCCCCTTGCGTCCTCCTTCCTCCTTCTCCTCTTCTGCATCCCTCCTCCCCCTCCTCCTCCATCTTCGAGCTGGGAGGGGGGACCACACCACCAGGAGGACCCCCCTTGCCCCTGGACATCCGACGAGATGATTTGTTCAATATCCGACCCCATCCCCTGGTGTAGCCAGATCCGTATCTGATGGCCCTGGGGCCCAAAGACGGGCCCCCGAGGCCGAAATCGAGGAACAACCGCCGAGGTTTCGAGTGTGTGATCGACTACATAATAGATTCACCCCAGAATTGTTTCCGTCGAGTCTACAACACGTGCGCAGAGTGTTCGTGGACCTGCTCGGGGGAACCGTATGCATGTTTCGAAGATCCGGCGAACAAAAATACTTGGGGTCAACCCATCCTGTAGTCGACCCCCTACAGTCAGCCCGCAGAATTAGGATGGGCAGCCTGACCAAGGGTACCCTTGCATCCCTGCCCCCCTTCGGCCCATCCTTGGCTACGTTTTCTGGCCGCGCCCCGCTCGAAAAGCTTTGAAACGGCCTTCCAAGGCCCTTGCATCCTTTCTATGGATGGGGCAATCATCGCCCCCTCCTTGGATCCGCTGGGGGGTTGGGCACGTGCTGTCGGCACGGGCGGAGGGGAGTTTGGCACGTGCTGTCGGAACGGGTGGAGGAGGGTTGGAGGAGGAGAATGAGGAGGGGAAGGAGGGGTTGGAGGAGGAGGAGGTGGAGGAGGGAGAGGGATAGCCAAGCTCCGTCGGAAGGTTAGTTGCCCACCCCTCGACTAATATCACTAGTATCCCACCCAGAGTTTAGTGCATCCTTATGATACGGGTCCCGAGGGGAGTAGGAGGAGGAGGATGAGGAGGCGTAGGAGGAGGAGGAGGAGGAAGAGGAGGAGGAGGCGGAGGAGGATGAGAAAGAGGAGGAGGAGGAGGAGGGTTGACTGTACTCGAAGGGTGACCCCCCCCACACACACACACACACACACACACACACACACACACACACACACACACACACACCACACACACACACACACACACACACACACACACACACAACAACACACACACACACAACACACACACACACACACACACACACACACACACACACACACACACACACACACACACACACACACACAACACACCACACAAACAACACACACACACACAACACACACACACACACACAAACACACACACACACACACAACAACACAACACACACACACACACACGCACGCGCGCGCGCACACACACACACACACGCACGCGCGCGCGCACACACACACACACACACGCGCACGCACGCACGCACGCACGCACGCACGCACACACGCATAGACATACACACAGACATCCACGTACACATCCACATACACATACACATACACATACACATACGCATACACATACACATCTTCGCACACGCACACACACACACACACACACACACACACGCGCACACACCGTCGCAGAGGTCGCTCTCGGGTGGCGGTGCCGTGCTCCACCTTCGCTCCCTCCCCGACATCCGCCGACATGACGCATCTTCAGTCCCCTGGCATCGCTCGGACGTGCGCACCTTCTCTTCGGCGAGGAGCATATCGAGGAGCCTCTTGGATATCCTCGTGCGGATTTGTTTTTTGTTGAGAAGCGCACGAGGACACCGACAGGTGCACGATGGGGACGGGCGTCCGAGCGATGGCAAGATCCGCGGCAAGATCCGCGGCACTTTCTTCTTCTCGGCGAGGAACCGATCGCGGAGCATCTTAGGATCCTCGTGCGGACTTGTTTTTTGTTGAGAAGCACACGAGGACACCGAGAGGTGCACGATGGGGACGGGCGTCCGAGCGATGGCAAGATCCGCGGCAAGATCCGCGGCACGTTCTTCTTCTCGGCGAGGAACCCCTCGAGGAGCATCCTTGCATCCCCGTGCGGAATTTGTTTTCTCTTCATTGAGGAGCGCACGAGGACACCCGAGAGGTGCGCCCGATGGGGCACGGGCGCCCCGAGCGCCGTCCGCGGCACGTTCTTCTTCTCGGCGAGGAACCTCTCGAGGAGCATCCTTGCAGCCCCGTGCGGATCTGTTTTCTCAATTGAGGAGCGCACGAGGGCCCCCGAGAGGTGCGCCCGAGGGGGCACGGGCGCCCCGAGCGCCGGGCGAGAGGCCCGCGGCCCCGCGGAGAGGTCCTTATGCTCCGGGGAGCCGCCATGCTGCTCCGGCATGGGCCCCCGGGGGGGGCCCGAGGCCGGGCCCCCGGGAGGAGGCCGAACGGTCCAGGAGAGCGGCAGGGCCAGGGAGGGAAAGAAAGCAGCACACAGAGGCACAGTGAATCGCCGATGCTCCCCAGCAAATGGGGGAAGCTATATGGGGAAGGGGATGGGGGGGGAGACAGAGGCCCAGAGGCACAATGAATCTCGTCGCTGCCCCAGAAAATAAGGGGGAAAGGAGCACACGGAGGCACAACGAATCGTCGATTCTCGAGAAAACATGGGGAAACTATGGCAAGTGGGGGGGGGAGGAGACAGAAGCCCAGAGACTACGGGAAAAGACGGGGAATCTTTTGATATTTGTGTGTATTTGTGTGTCTCATGTCGGGTCGACCGGAAGAGGCTCGCTCTCGACCCGCGGATCCCACAAACAAAGTTTGTGTGTCTCAGGGTCCCTTCAGGCAGGCTGGGCGGCAGGGGTCATGGAACACCGCTTGCAGCAGCGGCGCGGTACGTCTTTGGAGGCAGCTGCGTCGCCTTTTGGGTCTCTCTTGCCCGCGCTGCCCTCGAGCCCGGAGCTCTGCCAAGTTCCTGCTTTCACGGCCCCGTCGTCGAGTTCGCCTGGGCGCGCCGCTTGGCTAGCCCTCCCGAGGGGCAGCGGATTCCTCCTTTTCTTCCTTGGGAGGAGGGAGGAGAGGGAGAGGAGGCGGAGGAGGAGGAAGCAGCGAGGGAAGGACGGAAGGACGGAAGGGACGCGGGGCGCTGCCCCCTCTTCGAGCCGAGGACCCAACACCACAGGATGGTTGGGAACAATCCAGGAGCAGCCGCTGGACTGAAGTCGGGCCTGCCCCTCTACAGGAGGAAGATCCAAAGATGGTCCAAAAATTAGTCCGGGGACGGTTCTTCGAGCATTCTCGTGACCACTCTGGGGCATCTTCTTCACAACTTCTTATGCTTCGCCCCAACTCCTCTTGCAGGAGGACGGGCCCGACTTGACCCTGGACTGAAGACGTCATCTCCTCGGATCTCCGGGCACCGGCCGCGCCAGCCCTCCCCGCCGCCCGCACGCCCGGCCGCCTCGCCCAGCAGAGGGCCGAGCCCGCCGCGCGCCGCCGCGGCCGCGCCGCGCGCCGAGCACGCGCGGAGCCAGCCGCCGCCGCACCACAGGCAGGGCGCACGTCGAGGGAAAGGAGGCATGATGTTTGCTCTTCTTAGTCTTCTGTTTCTTCGGCTTCTTCTTAGTATTATTATTATGTTTCTTCTTTGTATTCTTAGGATTGCTGGCGTTGATGATCCTGCTTAGAATAATGATGCGGGTGCTATAAGAGAAGGGCCATCAAACCCTTACGCATACGAATGGCACAGCTATGTGTACTAGGTGATTGGTGGGAACCATATAAAATGGTATGCATAATTGTAGTAGTAGTAGTAGTAGTAGTAGTAGTAGTAGTAGTAGTAGGCGTAGTCGTAGTCGTAGTCGTAGTCGTAGTCGTAGTCGTAGTCGTAGTCGTAGTGGTAATAGTAGTAGACATAATGCTGATCATACACATACCAATGTTATATGACATAGTAGTAATCATGCGAACATAGATGAAGAACATTGCAAGGTATGTGTCGTCTCCTCAGATAGTAGTATCATTCATGATACTGATCATAAGAGTACCATTTGCAAAACAATATAGTAGTAATCATCATAGCATAGATGAAGAACATTGCAAGGTATGTGTCGTCTCAGATTCGACTCGATTCCGATGGCTTGCGATTCCGATTTGATTCGGCTTCGGATTCTCAGACTTCTTCGCGTTGAGAAAATCACGACGGGAGGTTTCTCGCTTTTTTCAGCCTCCAGGGGCCCTTATTCGGCCTCGGGACCGTCAAACAACGAATCATGATGAAAAACTGGTCCCCAGGAAAGGGTCGAGACCTCTGGGGGTCGACGTTGTGAAAAATCACCGCGTCGGGGGTCTGGGCTACCATTTCCTATAGTGGAGGCCTTCTGGCCTGCCGATTTCCGCCCATGCGACTTCTCCCGACTCGGCCGCCGATTTCCGCCGATCCTCTTCATTCCCATGGCCGGTCCGACTTATCGATTGCATCCTGGGCTCTCCTGCAGGCGGCGCGAAGCAGGCACTCTCGCTGGCGAGCGCGGCGCCGCCGGCGGCGCCGGCGGTGCGGAAGGCCAGCCGTGGCGCAGACCTGCAGACACGTTGCTGCGGAGAGGAGGAGGAGGAGGAGGAGGAGGAGGAGGAGGAGGGAGGAGGAGGAGGAGGAGGAGGAGGAGGAGGAGGAGGAGGAGGGGAGAAGGGGGAGAAGGAGGGGGAGGGGGGGGGGGAGGGTGTGATGGGAGTGGAGGGGGGGGGGGGGGGGGAGGGGTCGGCCTCCAGAGGGGGCCTCGCTGGGCCCCGACGCGGGACGACAAGCTGGCCCTGGGGAAGGATGCGAGGCTCAAGCAGTGGCGAAGCGTCCCAGCGCTCGCCTATGTGGGCCCACCAAAAAAAAACATGTTCTGAGAGCCTTCTGTGGTTATTGCACGAACTGTTCTTGGAACACTTCTGGCTGGGGCTGCCTTGTTTGATCGCCTCCGGTTCATGCTCTGAGAACGGCGTTTTCGTTCTTCGAACATTTGAGGGTTCTAAGGACATTTCGTGGTAGGACTGCCGGAATGCCCGGACGGTCGGTCCCTGCTCAAGAGGCTTTCCGGAGGCCCCGCACTGGAAAGGTCGGGATGGCGGACGGCCGGGGACGGGTCCGGAGGTTTGCTCGGCAGCGCTCGGGCGCTGGGGGGGCCGTGCCCGGGCCCCGCGGTGGAGTGCCAACAAATGGGCCGCGGGATGGCCGGCTCGTCCCGGGGGCATCTGCGCGCGAGGCCCTGAATTCCAGACCTCCTCGCGTTGTGAGAGAATCTCGACGGAGGGTTTTTCGCGATTTTCGGCCTCCCCGGGGCCCTTCTTCGGCCTCGGGACCGTCAAAAAACGAATCAGGATGAAAAAACAGGCCCTGGGTCAGACCTCTGGGGGTCGACGTCGCGAAGAAGTCACGAGGTCGGAGGTCTGGAATGTGCGTTCGGCCCAGGCAATTATTGTCATGGGTAGCGCTTGTCTGTCCGGGCCGCAAGGCCGATGCAGTCTCGCGGAAGGCATTGCGCGCTTGGCTCATTCTGGAGTGTGTCCTGCGGGAAAATCTCAGGCCTCCCAGATGGGGTCTTAGTAGATGCGGCTCGATGTGATCTTCTCCACCCCGACGTCGCCGATGCATCGCCGACGTCGCCGATGCATCGTCGATGCATCGGCGATGCATCCTCGATGCGGCGCGATCCTCCGACGCCATCTACCCCGAGGTCCGACGTTGCCCCCAAAAAGACAACATCGGGAAAAATCACCACCAGAGCCCTGGACCCTATCTTTCTATAGTATTTCTAGGGCGGGACCGATCTGAGGGTCCCATGGGCCCCGAAACGGCGCGAACACGAAGAAATGGCAACGCCAGGATCTCAGGGCACTCCGACGCCACCTGGGAGGCCTCCGAGAACAAAGCAGGCAAGCTGCGCGGCGCGCGCTGCGCGTCCGCCGACCTGATTTTTTGTCAATCCGCGGCCCCAAAGAGGCCCCGACCCCTTTCCCTGTGGTGGTTCTTCGCCCCGGCTCGAGTTTCGGATGCTCCCCGCGGGCCCGAGGGCAGCCCCCGCAAGGCCGACATCCACGAAGCGACGCCGGCTTGCCAGAGCCACAGCCTCGGATCCCTGGCTCGACGAGACGTAAGAGTGCAACCCTTCGCCGGAGTGACCTCTGGTGCGGGCCCGGTGGGCTCCCCCACGTCGCCGAACGCGATGTGCGATAGCAGCGTCTGGCGCGCCCGTGTCTGGCCCCCCCGCTGCCCCCACAAAGCCGCGCACGAGAGGTCACTCTCACCCAGGGTCTCTCTCGTCCTCATCCTCGTCCTTCAGACACCCTCCTCCTCTGCCATCTCGTCCTCGTCAACCTTCTTCTCCCCTTGCTCTTCCATTCTACCCTCCTCCTCGCCATCATCATTACCATCTTTCCCCTCCTTCTCCTCTTCGCCCATGTTTCCCTTCCTCCTCCTCCTCCTCCTCCTCCTCCTCCTCCTCCTCCTCCTCCTCCTCCTCCTCCCCCTCCCCTCCCTCCCTCCCTCCTCCTCCCTCCCTCCTCCCTCCCCTCCCTCCTCCTCCTCCTCCTGGGCAGGCGAGCTGCGCGGCGCGCGCTCGGCGTCCGGCAGCCCGCGCCCCCGGGCGCGCAGGCTGCCGGCGAGCCCGAGCGGGCTGCGGGCGAGCCCCGGCCCGCTGCCGCGCGCGGCGGCCGGGAGCTCCGCGTGCAGCCCGCTCGTCAGCCCCCGCCGCGGGCTCGACAGCCCGCTCGCCAGTCCGCGCGGCCGGCGGCAGGTCGGCGACCTGCAGAGGGTGCGGTTATTCGCCCCAAGAACCCCTTGCGTTTTTTTCAGTTTTTACCACGACGGGAGGTTTTTTCGCGATTCTGGTGCTCCCGGGGCCCTTGATTGGCCTCGGGGCCGTCCAGCAACGAATCGGGATGAAAGCCCGGTTCCCGTGAAACAGTTCGAGACCTCTGGGGGTCGACGTTGCAAAGAATGACGACGTCGGGGGTCTGTGAAGGGTGTGGCTACGCCAAGGTGTCCCTGAGGTTCTGGCGTTGCATGTATCCCCACATCCTAAGTGGGGTTCTTGTTTCCGCTGGACACCCCGCGCAGAAACAGGTACAGGAACCCACCCACCCACATCATCATCATCATCATCATCATCATCATCATCATCATCATCATCATCATCATCATCATCATCATCATCATCATCATCATCATCATCATCATCATTATCATTATCATTATCATTATCATTATCATCATCAGCATCAGCATCAGCATCAGCATCAGCATCAGCATCATCATCATCATCATCATCATCATCATCATCATCATCATCATCGTCATCATTGTCATCAGCATCATCGTCATGAGTATCAGCATCATCAGCATCATCAGCATCATCAGCAGCATCATCTTCATCATCATCAGCATCAGCATCCGCATCAACAGCATCATCATCATCACCACCAACAGCATCATCAACATATTCATCATCACCCCTCTTCTCGTAAATCACAGACACTCACACATTCACACTCATCATCATCAGCAGCATTTTCATCCTCACTCAGTCCCCCACTCACTCACCCACCCACTCATCGTCATCACCGTCGTCATCGACATCACTCCCACACTCGTTCACACTCACACACAAGCACACAGTACACACTCACAGACTCTCACACACACACACACACACACACACACACACACACACACACACACACACGCACTCAGGCATGCATTTTGAGAAAGCCGAAGAAGGGAGCCTCGTCTGTGAGTGAATCGTGAGGAAGTCTGAGACGGGCCCCCCCTCCCTATGGGGCCAGCACTTCATCTTAGGAATCGGAGCGGGTCATCCCAATCCTGCAACTGTCGTGACTATTGGGACCCTCGCGCTTGTATTGCAAAGACGCCTCAGGCGGGAGCCTCGTTTGTGAGTGAATTGCGAGGCAGTCTGAGGCGGGAGCCCCCTGTCTATGGAGCCCGCACTTCACGTTGGCAATTGGAGCGGGTCATCCAAATCTCGAAGCTGTCCTTAATGTTGTGTTCCTCGCGCCTGAATTGTGAAGAAGGTTCAGGTGAGAAACTCGTTGGTGAGTGAATTGCGAGGAAGTCTCAGGCGGGCCCCTCTCCATGGAACCCGCATTTCATTCAGGTAATCCGAGCGGGTCATCTAAATCCTGTAACAGTCGTTGTTTTTGGGACCCTCACGCTTGAATCTAGAAGAAGTTTCATGCGGGAGCCTCGTCTGTGAGTGAGTCGCGAAGACGTCTGGGGCCCTCAGCTCCATGTTAGAATCCGAGCGAGTCCTCGGCAACGAAGGGTGATGTGAGCCCTCGCGGGCCAATCCGAGCGTGGCTACTTTCATGTTCTTAGGAGGGCCACTCGCTCGGCTGAACCTAGTCCCCCCCCCGACGCGGCGATGGCGTCACCATCGACTGCACCAGGGATGAGGACGCGGGTCGCACGGGCATGTCGGACGAGCAGTGGTGGCGCACGTCTACGTCATGTTCTCCCGCGCCACGCGCATGCGGAACATGCTGATCCTGCGGCCGTCCACGCGCGAGTTCCTGGAGCGCGGGCCGCCGGCGTCCCTGCGGAAAACGCTCCGGAAGTTCGACGAAACAGCGGAGAGGTCCAGAACCGAGGCGGAGCAGCTCGCAGCACGGCTGGGTTTCGCGCTCCCCCCCGCCTGAGCGCGGCCGCGCCAACCTCGAGGCCCGCGGGGTTGTCCCAACGGCGTGGCTCCGCGGTGTTGTCCCAAAGGCATGGCCCGCGGGATTTCCACAATTATCCCGGCAAAGCAACCTAACAGCGATGTGTATAAGCATATCGGGAAGCATTCCCCTTAAGATTCAGGTGAGAATCCAGTTGTAGAATTCTGCTGTTCTCGGAGTCGCAGTCGCATTCGCAATGACAGTCGCAGTGGCAACGGCCTTAGGATCCAATGGAATCCTAAGGATTCCTCATGATTCCAAAGGCATCCTTAGGAATCCATAGGAATCTTCAGGATTCCTAAGGATTCCTGAGGATGCTTAACTATGCCGACGGATTCCTAAGGATGCCTACGGATTACTAAGGATTCCTGGGGATTCCTGAGGATTCCGATGGATTCCGACGGATGCCTCAGCCTGCCTCAGTTTCAGCCTCAGCCTCAGCCTGCCTCGGCTTGCCTCAGCCTCAGCCTCAGCCTGCCTCGGCCTCAGCCTCAGCCTGCCTCAGCCTCAGCCTCAGCCTGTCTCGGCCTCAGCAGCCTGCGTCAGCCTCAGCCTCAGCCTGCCTCAGCCTCAGCCTCAGCCTCAGCCTCAGCCTCAGCCTGCCTCGGCTTGCTTCAGCCTCAGCCTCAGCCTGCCTCGGCCTCAGCCTGGCTCGGCCTCAGCCTGCCTCAGCCTCCCCTCCCCCCCTTCCCCCCCCCCCCATTCAGCCTCACCTTGTCTCAGCTTCGGCCTGCCTCGGCCTCATCCTCAGCCTCAGCCTCAGTCTCAGCATGTCTCAGCCTGTGCTCGGCCTGAGCCTGCCTCGGCCTCAGCCTGCCCCTCAGCCTCAGCCAGCCTCAGCCTCAGGCCTCAGCCTGTCTCAGCCTCAGCCTGCCTCAGCATCAGCCTCAGCCTCAGCCTCAGCCTGCCTCGGCTTGCCTCGGCCTCAGCCTCAGCCTGGCTCGGCCTCAGCCTCAGTCTCAGCCTCAGCCTCAGCCTCAGCCTGCCTCAGCCTGCCTCAGCCTCAGCCTGCATCAGCCTCAGCCTCCCTCAGCCGCAGCTTGCCTCAGCCTCGGCCACAGCCTCAGCCTCAGCCTCAGCCTCAGCCTGCCTCAGCCTCAGTCTCAGCCTGCCTCAGCCTCGGCCTGCTTCAGCATCAGCCTCAGCATCAGCCTGCCTCGGCCTCAGCCTGCGTCAGCCTCAGCCTCAGCCTGCCTCAGCCTCAGCCTGCCTCAGCCTCAGCCTCAGCCTGCCTCGGCGTGCCTCAGCCTCAGCCTCAGCCTGCATCGGCCTCAGCCTGCCTCGGCCGCAGCCTGCTTCAGCTCGGGCATTCAAAATATGGCACAGGACTGGTGTTCTGGGAACACGATGATCACGAAATGGCCCACAGTTCGCTCCAGGGAATCAACACATGGTGCAGGAATGGTGTTCTGGGAACACGAAGATCACGAAGTGGCCTACAGTTGGCTCCGGGCATTCAAAATGTAGCCCAGGAGCGGTGTTCTGGGAACACGAAGAACACGAAGTGGCCTAGAGTTGGCTCCGGGCATTCAAAATGTGGCCCGGGAGTGGTGTTCTGGGAACACGAACGCGAAGTGGCCTACAGTTGGCTCCGGGCATCCAAAATGTCGCCCGGGAATGCAGATCTGGGAAGTCGAAGAGCACGAAGTGGCCTAGAGTTGGCTCCGAGCATCCGAAATGTGGCCCGGGTGGAGTTCTGGGAAGTCGTAGAGCACGAAGTGGCCTATAGTTGGCTCCGAGCATCCAAAATGTGGCCCGGGAATGCAGTTCTGGGAAGTCGAAGAGCACGAAGTGGCCTACAGTTGGCTTCGGGCATTCAAAATGTGGCCCGGGAGTGGAGTTCTGGGAGGTCGAAGAACACGAAGTGTGCGACTGTTTGCTTACAGCGAGCCCGGCCTGAGCCCGGCCCTCGCTGTCCGGATGCCGCCCAGACCTCCCTTCTGAGTCATCAGATGCTCTCTTTTGGCACCACTAGAAAACTATCAGTCTTCGCTGTTAGGTAAAAAGGTTTCGCGATCTAGCTGTCGGCAAACGCGCGCGCGTTGGCCGAGGCGGCGACGGCGCCCAGGGACATCGACTTGATTGCCCCGACCGGGGAGAAGGGGGAGTGCGCGCGGAGAGAAGGCACGAGGAGGCAGATCATCGGATGAGGAGTGGGGAAGGGGTAGGGGGAGGCTTTTGGTGATGACGAGGAGGAGGAGGAGGAGGAGGAGGAGTAGTAGGAGGAGGTGGAAAAGGAGGAAAAAGACAACGAGGAGGAGGAGGGGGAGGAGGAGGAGGAGGAGAAGGAGGATAATCGAAGGAGGGAGGGGAGGGGAGGGGAGGGCAGAGCTGAGGGCGAGAGGTGTCCGCCAGGGCGAGCGAGGAGGAAAGGGCGAAGGGCAAGCTAGACAGATTCTCGCGCGGGGTCCTACCGCCAGAGTGATTTTCTCATTTGGCGTTGTCGCCCTATTTCTGGCGCCCCCGGACCCTCGCAGACCGATCCGGTCCGAAAAGTGATGCAAAAAATGTGGTCAAGGGCCCCCGTCGTGATTCGATGTGCGACGTCGCAATGTTTGCTGCAACGTCGGATATGAGTGTTGCGCCCGGTACATCCTCCAGAGCTGCCGGGTCTCAGAGATCCCCGATTTATCCTCGTCTGGAGTTGTCCTCGTCCTGGCATTGTCTTGCCCACGGGGTCGCCGCCAGGCCCTCGCGGGGCCTCGTCGGGGCGCGGCGGGGAGCTCCGTGGTCCTTGCCCGTCCTCCAGACCCCCCGGCGTCACGATATCCTCACAACGTGGATTTGCGGATGTTTCGACCCATTTCCCCGGGGCCGTCTTGTCATCACCAGTCGTCGTCTGACGGCCCCGAGGGCCTGGCAAGACCCTCTTATTTTTTACTCTGGCAAGTTTGGTGGCATGGACGGGGGGGGGACTTGAAGTAAGCCGCAAACGATGTGCACGTGCGGAAACCACGCAAACCGAAAGGCACTTGCAGGCCAGTGTTCGCCTGAAGATGGGCGAGGGGGTGGGGGGGAGGGGAGGGGGTCGAACGAGTCAAAACAAATAGGCTCTCAGGGCCCCCAGAGGCCGAAACTGCAGGAAACCCTCCCGCAGCGATGTTTCCCTGACCCGAGGGGGCCATGGGCCCCCCGGGGGAGCGAGTCGCGAGCCATGCCCCCCGCGGACCGCACCCTGCGGAACCGCCGATCAGGGCTCGCCCGGCGGGCCGGCGCGGCGGAGGCCGTGCTGGAGGCCTCTGGGGGGGGGCGGCGTCTGGCCGCCGGCCGCGCTGGACGCCGGCGCCGCGGGCGAGCAGAAGGTCGGCACGAACGAAATGGGTACGGAAAGAATGGGTACAATGCCCAACAGCAGTTCCTGTTCATTCTGAACAGGACTCTCTGTTGGTGTCGCCGCGGCCTGTGTCCATTTGAGACAGAAGGCCGCCTGCCCAACAGTGGCTGCTGTTGGTGTGGGACAACATTTGTTGTTGGGCATTGTACCCATTCTTTCCGTGCCCATTTCGGACGTCCAAAGAAGGATCGGGGGCAGCGTCAGCCTCGGCGACGCGTAAGAGTCTAGGAGCCTCCTGGATATCGGGTCGGAGCAGATGGGGTCGGAGGGTCGCGCCGCGTCGCCGATGCATCGCCGATGCGGCTCGATGTGGAGCCCGATTTGCTTCACGTCGACGTCGCCGATACATCGCTGATGGCGGCGATACATCGCCGGTGTATTCCCGATGCATTGCCGATGCACCGGCGACGCAGCGCGCTCCTCCGACCACATCTACTCCGACCTGTTCTAGGAGGCCTCTAGCGTAAGAGTGACCTTTCGCGGGAGTGGCGTTTGGTGCGGGCTCAGAGGGGGGGGCCCAGCACTGGCCCGCGCGCTTGGATTTGCGCCCTCGGCGGTCCCCTAAAGCCGCGCACCAAAGGTCACTCGGGCCCAGGAGCACTCTTGCGTGTGGTCGGTAGTCAGAGGAGGACAAGGTATATTGCACCCATTCCGCCACCCCCCTCTCTCGTTTTCCCCCCATGTCTGGGCCTCCTCGACGAGGCCCTCGTCGACGACTTCGCCGTGGAAGTGTGGCGAGAGCTGCACGCCATGCACGGGCACCAGCTGGACGTGCCGGCGGTGTCTCGCGAGCGGACTCCCGGGGCAGGCCACCCCATCTGCTTCGGCACCGAGCAGGACCTGGCGGCCGCCTGCACGAAGCTGCACGCCGCCGCCGGGCCCGCCCGTGCGGGGAAGGCCGGCGAGCATCGCGGGGGCCCGCCGGCCGCGGGCACCGCGCCGGGGCGCAGGAGGGCCGACGTGGTGCAGCGGCTCTACAGCAACGAGGTGTCCAGGCAGCGGCGGAGAGACGTCAAGGATCGGGCAGAGGGTCGAGTATACAGAGCTGGTGTATCCCAAGACTGATTTTTGTGACGCCGTTCGAGTCTACCAGACATGAGTATCACGCTCCTCGGATCCTCGGCGGCGTCAAGTCACTTTCAGCACACTCGTCGGACACATCCATTCTGGGGGACATCAATTCTGTAGCCGATCCCCTGCTCGAGAGGAGAGGTGGGAGAAGGAGGAGATGCAGGAGTGCACCTTCACCCCCAAGATCACCCGCCTTGTGATGGCCGGGGTCGCCGAGCAGGTCGGGAGCAAGGCTGACGTGTCCGAGCGGCTGTACGCGCACGGCAGGGAGCGCGAGGAGGCGCTGAGGGAGGCGCGCGAGCAGCACCTCGCGAGGGAGGCGCGCCTGCTGCAGGAGAAGAGCGTCGTCAGCGGGCCGAAGAGCGTGCCCGCGTGGAGCGTGTTCGAGCGGAGCCGCAAGTGGAGGAGCCAGGTGGACAGGAGGATCGCTGAGCGGAAGGAGGGGGCGGCGCAGCAGGAGGAGAAGGAGCTGCAGGAGTCGTCGGTCCACAAGAGGCTGAATGAGCGGCTGACCGGGTCGGCGGCGGCGGCCAAGAGGGAGGAGGCCGTGGACAGGCTCTACAGGATAGACCTCAAGAAGAGGAAGGCGCGCGCCGATGAGAGGATCAGGAGCCGCCAGATGGACATCGAGAAGGAGTTTCAAGAGCAGGAGATGAGGTCCGTATGGTAAGTTTGAGTCCCGCTCCAGATCCTGACCAGTGGAAGTCCCCCTGGGGCATCTGGAGGCGCCCAGGGGCCTCCAGATGCCTCCAAAGCCAAGCGGAAAGCCAAGAACTTGCAAGAGTTCTCCCCCTTTCGTGCAGGACTCGGATGAAGATCAATCGCTCCAGAGCGTTCCGATACGCTCTCGTAGCGTTCAGTGGATTGCTATGGAACGGCTGTGGCGCCCGATCCATCCTCCAAAGAAGACCCGCCAGCTGTTTCGAAGGTACCATCATCTTCGATTCGTCTTTTCAGGCCACGTCAGCTGACCATCTTAGTTACCGATCAGTCGAGCCGGACGATCAAGGCACGCCGATGCGGCTTCTTTCGCCAGTGTCGACTCAACGTGTCGTCCCTTGCGGGACTCCTGGGCCAACCTGGCCGCTGCCGAGGTTCATGCACCACCGATGACTGACTACAGCGGAGACCCATGCCAAGACACACCCTGCTTGCCTCCAGGGTGCCCTGGGTTTCTCGGGTTTCGATGGTCTTGCCGTGAAAACCGCAGCGTTCCCACACCACAGAGAACCAGTGGACGTCCTGGGGTCTCAGGGTTGGGTCTCTTGTGGGAGGTTTCTCGTGACCCGGCCCCTACCGAGGCCCGCCAGGGGCGAGGTGGCCACAGCTCGCGCTATCGTGATCCGTCCTAGTCGCCCCTCGACGGCCCGGGGGCAGAGCCTCGACGATTCATCAGTGGACGAAGGACGCTGTCGAAAAGCAGCCCTCCTCGCCGTGGGGGACGCCTGCGCCAGAGCGACCGGGATCGGCGGCGAGCCCGAGGCGGAGGTGAGGAGGGGCGGGCTTCTCAGAAGGGCTCGGAAGTCCCCCTGGCCTTCGGAGAAGTCTCCGAAGTAGCCCCCGAAGGCAACGAGCGCTTCTCAGAAGGCGCGAGGGCTTCTGAGAAGGCCCGCCGGCTTCTGAGGAGGCCCTCCCCTTCACATCTTCCCCCCCTTTGCTCGCCGCCGATGGAAGGCTTCCACCCCGACGTGCCACCACCGTGAGTGTGGGAACTTTCCAGCCGTCCTGGGGCAGGCGTCCCCGACGGCGAACAAGCTTGTGCTGCAGACACGGGGCGGGGCTACGGAGGGGAGGAAGTCCGTCCCAGGGCGTTCCGGAAGGCTCTCAGGGCGTTCCGGAACGCTCTGAGGAGGCCGCGGCGCCTGAGACGAGGCATCCTCCAGAGCCGCCGGATCTCCGAGATTCTCGGTTCATCTTCGCCCGAATTTGTCCTCGACCTGGCTTCGTCGTAAGGGGGAGGCGGGAGGAGGAGCTTGGGAACGCTCAGCTCGCAAGAAGGACCCGCCAGCGCGGAGCTCCCCCCAAGCATGTTTTGAGGGGGCCGGGGAGGGCCTGAGAGCAAGGGGGGGGAGGACAAGCTAGGTCTTAAGTCGGGCGCGTCCATCTACAGGAAGAACACTCATTACAAATAATTCAAACAATAGTCTGGGAACGATGTTTTACCATTTTTGAATATTTGTTGGACATTTTGGGGTATTTATAATTTTTCTTCCACAATCCGCCTGTATGGGGGACAGGCCTGACCTAAAGCTTGGGGGGCTCGCGTCATATCTGACGTCCTACCCCTCCCTCCCATCCCTTACCATGGCTTAGATCTCCTCTCTCACAATCGGATGTGGCAGCATGGCATAATTAGCATCACATGGCATGGCATGGTGTCGAAGATCAGCGCGTAGCATGACATAGCTTGGAGTGGCGGCGCCCAAAGGTGCGGGGGGCGGCTTCTGCGGCCCAAAGAAGGAACGAATCGACACCGAATGTGTAATCACTTCCGATGGTTTCTTCAGGAGGCCATTTTCTAGATTTTGGGGCCTATTTGGAAGGTCCGACCACCATGCAGGGGCTCGGCACTCGAAATGATGACGCAGCGTTGCAGCGGGAGCACGATTCGGAACGAGCGGTTGCCCGAAAGTGAGGCTAGCGCTTCAGCGAGAGCAGCATTTTGAAAAAAATAAGCGCGGAAGAACGGAAATGAGGACGCGTAGCCTGACATAGCATGGCGACGCGACGCCCCAATGTGGTGGGGGCTTCTGCGGCCCAATCTATCAACGAATCGACACCGAATGTGTAATCATTTCCGATGGTTTACTCGGCGGGGCATTCTCTAGATTTTGGGGCCTATTTGGAAGGACCGAAAACCATGCCGTAGCATGGCGCTGGAAATGATGACGCCAGCGTTGCAGCGGGAGCACGATTCGGAACGAGCGGAAGCACGGAAATGAGGCCAGCATTGCAGCGGAAGCACGATTCGGAACGAGCGGTAGCCCGAAAATGAGGCTAGCGCTTAAGCGAGAACAGCATCTGGACAAAACGCAAGCGAAAACCCAACTCCTCGGAATCTGGTGTATAAAAAACAGCACGCGGAAGGGGGCCGGACATTCCCAGGACGCCAGGGGAGAGAGGAGCGTTGTATCCATATTGTGCAGTTGTGGAGGAGGAGGAGGAGGAGGAGGAGGAGGAGCAGGAGCAGGAGCAGGAGCAGGAGCAGGAGCAGGAGCAGGAGCAGGAGCAGGAAGGGAACAAAAAAAAAGGAGGATGGAGGGGAGGAGGAGGAGGCGGAGGAGAGGACAGGAGCAGGAGGAGGAGGAGGAGGAGGAGGAGGAGGAGGAGAGGAGGGAGGGAGGAGGAGAGGAGGGAGGAGGGAGGGGAGGAGGGAGGAGGAGGAGGAGGAGGAGGAGGAGGAGGAGGAGGAGAGCAGAGAGGAGGCGGAGGGAGAAGGGAGGAAGAGGAAAGAGGAGGTAGGAGGGAGGAGGGAGGAAAGAGGGAAAGAGGAGGTAGGAGGGATGAGGAGGAGGAGGGAGGAGGGAGGAGGGAGGAGGAGGAGGGAGAGGGAGGGAGAGGGAAAGAGGGAGGAGGGGAGGGAGGAGGGAGGAGGATGGAGGGAGGAGGGAGGAGGGAGGAGGAGAGGAGGGAGGGGAGGAGGGAGAGGGAGGAGGGGGGAGAGGAGGAGGAGGGAGAGGAGGAGAAGGAGGAGGAGAAGAAGGAGGAGGAGGAGGGGGAGGGGGGGGAGGAGCCACGCCAGGTCCGTCCACGCCAGGGCAGCGGCGAGGGGGCGCGCGGGGCGCCGCGCGGCGCCGCTGGCCGGCCGCGGGCCCGGAGGGGAGGACGAGGCGCGGCCTCAAGCAGTGGCGAAGCAGCTCCAACTCCTGCTTCTCCTCCTCCTCCTCCTCCTCCTCCTCCTCTCTCTCTCCTCCTGCTCCTCCCTCCTGCTGCTCTTGCTATGCTCCTCCTCCTGCTCTTCTTCTCCTCCTCCTCCCTCCTCCTCCTCCTCCTCCTCCTCCTCCTCCTCCCTCCTGCTCCTGCTCCTGCTCCAGCTCCTGCTCCTCCTCCTCCTCCTCCTCCTCCTCCTGGTCCTGGCTCTGGTTCTGAAATCGCCGAGCGGGGACGTCGGCTAGCTCTGGGCCAAGCAGGTCCTTGTATGTCCCCCCCCGAACGGCAGCGAGTGCTGTGCCCAACCCCGCGCCGAATGGCCGGGCTGCGCGTGCGTCGGGGCGGCGCTCGGCGGCCTGGCAAGTGCCCTCTCCTCGGCTCGGTCCTTCTTGGGCACGTCCCCGCGAATGCGCGGGCAGTTTTGGTGCCCAAATGGGGATCCTCTTCCTGCTCCTCCGCCTCCTCCTCCTCCTCCTCCCTCCTGCTCCTGCTCCTGCTCCTCCTCCTCCGTTTCCTCCTCCTCCTCGTCCTTATCCTCCTCCTCCTTCCTCCTCCTCCTCCTCGTCCTGCTCCTCCTCCTGATCCTCATCCTCATCCTCCCTCCTGCTCCTGCAACTGCTCCTGTTTCTGCTCCTGCTCCTGCTTAGCGGACCTGCCCACAGGCTAGGATACAAACCCTGAGAGATTGAATTCTGCATCGGCGCTGGTATTTGTCCTGGAGTTCCTGGCGTTGCCATTTTTTGCAAATGGCGTTTTCGCTTGGTATCGGGCTCCGGGACCTTCACAGATCGATCCGGCTCGAGAAATGGCAGAGAAAGATGGGGTCCACGGCTCCGGTGGTGCTTGTTTGAGTTGATGCAAATGTTTTGCAACATCAGATCTAAGGACAGGATCTTTTTGTTGTATCGGCGCTGGCTTCTGCGCGGTAGATGGCTGGCTTAATCTGGGCGGGTCCGGCCTCCTCCCGCCTCACCCCGCTTACTTTGGCTCATAATCCCGCTTAGTCCTGGATTGAATCCAGCCTGAGTTGGTGAAGTTGTTCCTCCATCGAAGACCTCCCAGGAGCTGCCTCCGAGCATCGGCCCACCAAAGGACCCAGACCCCCTCGGGCCATGATGATGATGTTGACAATATTAATCATACTAATATTTCTACTACTACTACGACTACTACTACTACTACTACTACTACTACTACTACTACGACTACTACTACCACTACTATTACTACTACTACTACTACTACTACTACTACTACTACGACGACTACTACTACTACTACTACTACTACTACTACTCCGTCTGCTACTACTATTAGTACTACTACTACTACCACCAACCACCACTACTACTTACTGAATAACTACTACTTTACTACTACTAGTACCGTTACTCGTACTAACACTAGGTAATCCTTATACTACTTACTACTACTACTATACTACTACTGCTACTATTACTACGACTACCACTACTACTTACTACTACGAACGACGGACGAATCCTTACTTACGGCTTACTACTACTGACTAGTTACTACTACTACTACTAGACTATACTACTACTTGCTACTATATACTACTATGGCCACCATACTACTATATTTACTACTACTACTACTACTACTACTACTACTAATACTAATACTACTATACTAAGGTTATTACTTACTACACTATACTTACTACTACTACACTACTACTATATTACGATTACTACTTACGACTACTACTACTACTACATTTACTACTACCACTAATACTATAATAAAATACGATTACTACTACTACTACGAATGTACTACTACTACTAGTACTTGCTTCTACGACTACTACGACTACTACTACTACTACTACCACTACTACTACTAGTACTACTACTACTACTACTACTACTACTACTACTGATACCACTACTACTACTACTACTACTACTACTACTTCTACTGCGACTACTACTACTACTGCTAATACGACTACTACGACGACTACTGCTACTATTAGTACTACTACTACTACTACTACTACAACAACACAAACTACTACTACTACTACTTCTACTACTACTACTACTACTCCTACTACGACTACGGCTACGACTACGACTACGACTACTACTACTACCACCACTACTACCATCACCACTACTAATATTACTGCTACTACTACTATTACTACTACTACTATTACTACTACTACTCTTACTACTACTACTACTACTACTACGACTACTACTACTACTACTACTACGACTACTACTACGGCTACTACGACTACTACGACTACTACTACGACTACTACTACTACTGCTACTACTATGTTACTTCTACTACTACTACTACTACTACTACTACTACTACTACTACTACTACTACTACGACTACTACGACTACTACGACTACTCCGACTACTAGGACTACTACGACTACTGCTACTGCTACTACTACTACTACTTGACTACAACTACTACAACGACACTACGACTACTACTGATACTACTTCTACTACTACTTCTACCACTACTACTACTACTTTTTTCACTACTTACAACTACTACTTACTACTACTACTACTACTACTACTACTACTACTACTACTACTATTACTACTACTACTACTTCTACTACTACTACTACTACTACTACTACCACTACTACTACTACTACGACTACGACTACGACTACGACTACGACTATTACTACGACTACGACTACTACGACTACTACGACTACTATTACTATTACTACTACTACTACTGCTGCTACTACTACTACTACTACTACTACTACTACTCCTACTACGACGACGACGACGACTACGACTACTACTACGACTACTACTACTACTATTATTATTAATACTACTACACATGAAAATAGTAATATACATAATGGTAAGAATCATGATGCTGATGATGATGGTGAGGATGATGGTGACGGTGATGGTGATGGTGATGGTGATTTTGATGGTGGTGGTGATGGTGATAGTGATGAGGATGGTGATGGTGATGATGGTGATGAGTGCGGAGAGCAGACGCAGGGAGGACTACTACTACTACTATTATTATTAATACTACTACACATGAAAATAGTAATATACATAATGGTAAGAATCATGATGCTGATGATGATGGTGAGGATGATGGTGACGGTGATGGTGATGGTGATGGTGATTTTGATGGTGGTGGTGATGGTGATAGTGATGAGGATGGTGATGGTGATGATGGTGATGAGTGCGGAGAGCAGACGCAGGGAGGAGGAGGAGGAGGAAGGAGGAGGAGGGACGCGGGGAGATGCCTCTTCATTTCGAGCACCCAGCACCACAGGATGGCTTGGACAAATCATGGCGGCAGGTTTTTCGCCATGTTCGGCCTCGAGTGGCCGTCGCCAGGCCCCAGGACCGTCCCAACACATTACTCTGAACGAAAAACACGTCCTGGGAAATTAGTCCAGACATCTTGGGGTCCTCCTCCTCGTCCTCTAGAACATTTTCGGGTTCTAAGAAAATTTCGTGGTAGGCCCATAGGAACGCCGGGACGGTCGGTCCCTGCTCAGCATTCGAAAAAGAAAATTCGGGGTTGGACAGAACTCCCACCCTGACACGTCAATTCGTGGATGGTCCGTTTGCGGTTCTCGAGAGGGCGCCGCGGCCGTCATGTTCCAGGCTTGCGCCCGCCAGGTTTGGGTCCGAGGTCGTATTCACTACACCACGTCTAACCAATGGGGGTTCTATCCATCTCTGAAAGAAGAAAAGTAAGAAAGCCGTGAAAATAAACTTTTGACGCTCCGCGCGGATGTCTTGGATCCGCGCTGGGACCCCCTGGCGCCGCCTCTGGTGCCGCCCTGGCGCGCGGAGCGCGCCAGGGAGGGGCGTCCAGCGCGGATCCAAGAAATCCCTACTGAGCGCCCAAAGTTTATGTTTACTGCGTTTGTTTTTATTGCACACAACGGGCGTTTTCGCCCAATTTCGGGCCCCAGGACCCTCACAGAGCGATCCGGCCCGAAAATTCAGCAGAGGGTTGGGGTCCGGGGCTCTGGTGGTGTTTTTTTGCGACTTTGCAATGTCCGTAAAGTCTTCGCCCCCTGCCGCTGGCCCCCTCTCAATCATAATGGGATATATCAGAGTCGCGTCGGTGCGTCTCGGCGCTGCCCTGGCGCATCTGGGAACATCAGGCTGGGGCGGATAGGAATCATCTGCGCATAATGAGACGTTGGCGTCATCCTAGTGGCCTTCGACCCATCCCGCCACCGTGCCTGGGTTATGGGTCTAAGGCCTCTTGTGTATGTGTTGGGGTGTCGAAAGGAGCCTCTCGGGGGCCTCTTGGAGGCGGTTTGGGCGCCTCTTAGGGGCCTCTTGGGGCCTTGTGGGGTATCTTGTGGGCCTTTTGGAGGCCTCTTAGGCGCGTCTTGGGCGCCTGGGCCCTCTTGGGGTCTCTTGGCGGCCTCTTGGGGCCTTCTGGGGATTTCTCGGGGCAAAAATGTCGAATGTTCGTTTCGTGATCCCCTGCTTTGGCCCCTCTTGGGGCCCTCTTGGGCCGTCTTGAGCGCTTCTTGGGCCGTCTTGAGCGCTTCATGGGCCGTCTTGGAGCCCTCTTGGGCTGTCTTGGGGCCCTCTTGGAGGCGCCTTTGGCTGTCTTGGGGCGGTCTTGGGAGCTTTTTGAGCCGTCTCGGAGCGTGGGAAAGCCGAACATGTGAGAGGCCAACGTCCTGCAAAAACTTTGCGGTCAAGTCTACGGTTTGGGCCTCATGGGGCTCTCGGGAGGCCTCTTGGAGCGCTCCTGGGGCCTCTTCGGCCC